CTTTTCCCTGGAGGGGGATCTGTGCCTATGTGAATGAGGTCCTAGCAGTCCTTATGGATTTGTGAGCATATTACAACCTAAAATTCAAGAATAAGAGAATCTACATAGGAATCTTTGCTTCGCTCTTCTGTGAGCCTCATCCAGAGAAAATTTCACTGGGTCATCTGACAATGTGACAGGAGAATCCAAATTTGATACTACGGAATACTTCTGAGCCCAAACTGGGCTACAATATGGTTTCCATTCTCATATTTGTATTTTCCAGGATTTAACAGGATGCCACTTGGAAGGCAAGAAAGAGGATGTTCTGGTGTTGAAAATATCACACACACACACGTTTGCATTTTCCCATAAGATCCTTCAGGGATGTGAGTTGCAGATCATCTTTTCTGGCAATGGAGTCTCTTTCATTTTACTTTAGCTCACCTACTTGGTTCAAATGAATCAAGAGCCCACATACTAAGCAGCTTTAAAAAAAACATATTTTTTTATAAGTTGCATGGCCAAAAAACAAGGACTTTGACCCAACGATTAGCATATTCTATAATGGGTTCTGCCATTGCCTCCCACCTCCCTTCAGGATACATGTGGTTTTTAGCAGGTCACATAAATGACAAGAATGACAAGAAATGACAGTTTCTGAAACCAGGTCCTACCTGGGATGTTTTATGACTTTTTTGCACTGAAATAAGCATGTTCATCAGACAGAATAGCAGCGCTACGGTAGCTGTATTTACGTCATTGTTCAGTGAATATCGGGCTACTGAGAGGCGCTTGAGGAAATTGGTGATTTTATGATAATGACTCATTTATTCTGCTTCTCCAGGCCTTTCATCTTCCTGCTACTCTTCTCTTTCTCTCCCTCTGTTCTTTCTTAATCGCCAAACCCACCCAAGGCATCCAGGCATGTTATTTACTTCCTAAGAAGTACGGCTCGAGCGTCTACTCCGCCAGCAGTGGGACGCTACTCTCTTGACGTGTGTCCTCGGAGGATGGGCCACCACTCGGGAACGCGGCTCTGCCCACACCCCAGGCCCACTCTCCCGGCCCAGCCCCATAAAGGGAGCCCTGGGCCTGCCCGCCCTGCGCCCTCCTCGGCTGCCGTCCCGCAGCAGACATGAAGCAGCCATTTCGCCCTCCCTTTGCCAGCCTTCTCCTTGTAGCCCTGCTGTTTCCAGGTAAAACAGAAAGGTGGCCTGGGCCTGGGCGCCAGGACCCCTCTGCAGTGGGCGTTTTGGGAATGGGGTCCGGGCTGGGCAGGGACAGAGGACGTCTGGGAACACATGCTCCGGATGGTGCTCGTGGGCAGGAGCCTCTGAGCGGGCTTTGGAAATGGCCCCCGGAGTGTGCTGATGGCACTGGCTTCCCAGGGACAGGTCCCTCCCCGACTCCATTTTCTCATCCTCTTAACTTTTCCCTTCCCCTTCCGGAGAAGGGCGCTAACTTGTAGGGGAATCTCGACAACTACACTGGCGACACCCGAGGCAAGTGCTCAGCTTGGCTTCGATGGGGAACCCAGGCTCCCCCTGACCACACAGGCTTCTCACCCGCCGCGCCGGCACCCCTCCAGCCCCCCAGCACCCCTCCAGCCCCCCAGCCCTGAGAGCGCAGGTACCACGTCCTCACGGGTCGGTGGCATAGAGAGCTCTGAACACGCTGCGCTGGGTATTTATGCTTCAACAGGATCGTCCGGAACCCAGTATGTTAACCACTCAGGCACTGAGGGTCCCAGAGAACTCGAGAAAGGATCTCCTGGTCACTCGTCACACCGCCGAGTAAAACGCTACATCTTACCACCGCGAACCCCTCCTTACCATGGTAAGTCAGGCACCGAAGCATGTGACAAGTTCATCCACTTGGGAGAAGTCGAGGGAAAGTGGCTGGGCAGGCAGGGGGTGGGCGAGTGGCAGGGGTTTGGGGTGTGGGTGGCCTGGGCTGCCCTCCCTGTCCGGAAGGCCATGGGGTCTGACACCTCTGCTGGGGCTGGACCACTGAGGGAATTCCGGGGCCAAGAGGCAACTTAGCCGAGGCCACGTCTGTAATCACTGACTTCACCCAAACACAGCAGCTGGAGGAGACGCTGGAAGCACATTCTCCTCCTGCCAGGCCGGAGCCCCACTCCCTGGGCCTTGGAGCTCATTCACCCCACAGCAATTTCCTGAATGCCTTCCAAGTGCCAGGTGCCAAATGAGGGTCAGGGAATGCTTCCTGGAGATGGGGGCAGAGAACGGGCTGTGCCGTCAGTCTGTCTGGGCAGGGAGAAGCACAGGGGCTGACACAG